TAGGCAAGAGAAACTAATATGCATAAGACAATCAAGCATTTTAGTATTATGTCACCTCTTCAAACTATACCTACATCTCTGTATCCCAGAGCCCTATTGTTGCAAGTTTGAGCATGCATCACTATTTACCTCTGTTCCACTTAAGCTATGCAAAACTGTCTCAGTGTTTCCCTATCTATCTTGTTCTTCTGCCTCCTTCTCCTTCTTGTATTGCCTTTCCCAACACCTGTACTAAACTCCCCAGCCCAACCCCATTGTTGTGGTTACCTTATATTCCATCAACACTCTTCCCTCCATTTAAGACAGTCTATTCTATCCTGTAATCTACCTGAGCCCCAACCCTCTGGATCTCTGTTCCTCTGTGTTTATCTTCTTTCACATTATAATTGTTTTGATCATAGACTGACCTCCCAGAACCTCTGTTCTTATCATTTTATTCTGTTCTCGACTCTTCCATTTGTCGATTGAGTTCAGGGAGATGCTGCCAAGCACGTCATTCTCTAGCTGTTGTTTGTTCTTTTTGGTTCTCAGTCCACAGAATTTCCTTTAGGATGTTTTTCATAGCAGGGTTGGCTTTGGCACAATCTCTTAGCTTCCGTTTATCCTGGAATGTTTTGATTACACCATCGTATTTGATTGACAGCTTTGCTGGGTAGAGGAATCTTTGGTAGCAGTTTTTTTAATTTCAGGGTTTTATATGTCTCCCCATTGCCTTTTTGCCTACATGGTTTCTGTTGAGAGAGCTGAGCTTAATCTGATTTGCTTACCTTTGTATGTTACACTTCTCTTTTCCCTAGCTGCTTTCAGGATTCTGTCCTTATCTTTGATTTTAGAAAGTTTGATTAGTTTATGTCTTGGTGATTGTCTTTTAGGGTCTATCCATCCTGGGGTTTGTTGAGCTTCTTGAATACTTATCTTTTCACTTTTCTAGATGTTAGGGAAAATTTATTCCAGAAGCTTTTCAACTATCTCCTCTGTGGACTGGTGTGATTCTTACTGCTCTGGAATGCCGATAATTCTGAAGTTATTCCTCTTCATGTTGCCCAACATGAATCTTAGGCCTTCTTCTTATATTTTTATCCTTTTGTGTGTTTGCTCTTCTATCTTAGTAGTGTTGAGAGATTTATCTTCTAGCTCACTAGTTCTGGCTTCTATCTCTTCTA